GCAACGACTGGTGGATCGGGAGGCTAGTGAAAGAGGGCGGAGATATCGCCTTCATCCCCAGCCCCCAACGCCTGGAGAGCATCCGGCTCAAACAGGAACAGAAAGCCAGGTGAGAACAGTGCTGAGACTCAAAACACACCCCCCCAAACACATACACCTGACCCACAGAACACAGCTGCACGTTTATACCATGCAAGTCCACACTCCATACATGCTTAACTGTCGTAAGGGTAGTTAATTATTAAAACATTAAATAATGTCTGGAACCGACGGACACATTCAACCCCCCCTCTTTTTGTTTTCCCACCCCCATCTCTGTCAGGAGATCTGGGAACCCTTCCAGCCTGAGTGACATTGGCAACCGACGCTCTCCTCCTCCATCTCTAGGTAGCCTTCCCTCAGCTCACTCATTTGGGTGAATGGGCAGATGAGACAGTGGAAGGGGGTTCTCCTCAGTGAGCTTCATGGGAAGGGGTTGGCGGAGGGATTGCAAAAGCAGGAGAACCCCCTTTTCTCCCCTGGGGAAGGGACTACCACGTCCCCAGGCCCTTCTCCCTTCACCAACTTTAATCTTTTATTTCCTTTCCCAAAAGCCAAGCAGAAGCAGAAGCAGGTGAGTCAGAAAGGGACCTGGGCTGGGGTCTGGGGGTCGTTGTGGATTTTGGTTCTGGTCAAGTCACTGCTGGCATCTGCAGAGCAGAGGGGAGGGAACCCAGAGCTCTTGACTCTGCCCCCAGAGCAATCAGGCGTAAAGTGGGTACCAAGGCCAAGATTTTGTCTGACCTCCGGGCCATTCTGCAGGCGGAACATGTTCCCCCATACGATGTGGTGCCCTCCATGCGGCCTGTGGTGCTGGTGGGACCCTCTCTGAAAGGTTACGAGGTGAGGAAATGTCCAACCAGGTCACGGGAAGGATTCAAGGACAGTGGGGATGGTCTGTGTGGAGAGTGTGGGTCTGTGTGGAGGGCGTGAACTCTTAGAGACACTGCCTGCCTCCTGGAACCTTCTGTCAGTACCACACCCTCTCCTCCAGGTCACGGACATGATGCAGAAGGCTCTCTTCGACTTCCTAAAACACAGGTTTGATGGCAGGTAGGTTGCCCTGGCCTGGAATGGAATGAGGAGCTAGTTTCTTCCCAAGGAGAATTAGAGCTGGGTAAAGAAAGACTTGGGGGGGGAGGGGTGCTGGAGAGATGGCTCAGAGGTTAAGAGCACTGACTGCTCTTCCAGAGGTCCTGAGTCAATTCCCAGCAACCACATGGTGGCTCACAGCCATCTGTAATGAGATCTGGTGCCCTCTTCTGGCCAGCAAGCATACAGACAGAACACTGTATACATAATAATAATAAAAAAATAAATAAGTTTTTTTAAAAAAAGACTTGGGTTTGAAGGCCGCTGTGACCCTCCACACCAGGATCTCTATCACGAGGGTCACAGCTGACCTCTCACTGGCAAAGCGGTCTGTGCTCAACAACCCTGGCAAGAGGACCATCATTGAGCGCTCCTCGGCCCGATCCAGCATTGGTGAGCACTCCTTTGTTCTGCTTCTCTGCCTATTTGATGCTCTCAGGACTTTTGTTTTGTTTTGTTTTGGCCTATGCCCCACCCCCTGCCCCAGGTCTGCCCTCATTTGCCCAGTCCCTTGCCTGCCCAGGCTGTCAGTCAGGTCCTTCCTGCTCACCACACAGCAGCCCTCAAAGCCCTGGATTAAACAGTGGGCAGAGCCCCTGGTGAGCTGCTCCCCTTCCTTAGCTGAAGTGCAGAGTGAGATTGAGCGCATATTCGAGCTGGCCAAATCCCTGCAGCTAGTCGTGTTGGATGCTGATACCATCAACCACCCAGCACAGCTAGCCAAGACCTCATTGGCTCCCATCATCGTCTTTGTCAAAGTATCCTCACCGAAGGTAAGTGAAACTGGGGTGATTGGGGTCCCACAGGAGATGTTCCCTAGAATATAGTGCACCTCTGCTTGGGCCCTGCCTGGAGTGACCGGTTGGTTCCTTTCCTTGCCACCCCTTACCACCACACAGAGGCATCCTCACCTGGTACTCTAATGCCCTATGACAAGTTGGGAATGTGCCTAGATCCTTCCAGGCCCAGCTCTGACTAGAGCCCGAGAGACTCTCGGCCGACCTCTGCCCTTCTACTTCAGGTTCTCCAGCGACTCATCCGCTCCCGGGGGAAGTCGCAGATGAAGCACCTGACTGTACAGATGATGGCATATGACAAGCTGGTTCAGTGCCCACCAGTGAGTGCTTGGGTTAGCTGCAGCCACACCCTATTCCAGGGTGCAGAAGCTCTGGGACTGCTGTTGAGGAGCCAACCTCGTCGTGTGCTTTCTTTCTCTCCAGGAGTCATTCGATGTGATTCTGGATGAGAACCAGCTGGAAGATGCCTGCGAACACCTGGCTGAATACCTAGAGGTTTACTGGCGCGCTACCCACCATCCAGCGCCTGGCCCTGGACTCCTGGGTCCTCCTAGTGCCATCCCTGGACTCCAGGTAACCATTTCCAGTGGGCTTACACAGTCCAAGCAAAGCTCCTGCCCTGCCCAAGGGGTTGCCTTGGTCTGCAGGTGAAGCCAGGGATGGCAGAATTGTCAGCCCTGCTTCAGCTTGCTCTACAGACAAGCTGTATATACCTCGGGCGTATAGGTCAAGGAGCTTCCTGGCTGAAGAGCACAGTGAATGAGTAACCAGAGATGGGCCTTCCAGGGTCAATGGAAACATTCTCTCCACACCTTTCTCCCAGTCACTTTTTAAGGGAGAGCCTGAATTTGCAGGAGCCCAAACTCCAGCTTTCTATGTCTGGTCCAGAAGAATGCCCCAGCTTACTTCTTCCTCGCACTATTTAAAAACAAAACAAAACAAAACCTGGGAACTGAGAATAGAGGGGGAAGAACCCCACCTCCCTGCCAGAGTTCTAGGAGAAGCAAAGGCCAGGTCTGCTTCATCTTACTTAGAGCTGTTGTGTGGCCCCCAGAACCAGCAGCTGCTGGGGGAGCGTGGTGAGGAGCATTCGCCCCTGGAGCGGGACAGCTTGATGCCCTCAGATGAGGCCAGCGAGAGCTCCCGCCAGGCCTGGACCGGATCTTCACAGCGCAGCTCCCGCCATCTGGAGGAGGACTATGCAGACGCCTATCAGGACCTGTACCAGCCTCATCGCCAACACACCTCGGGGCTTCCCAGTGCTAATGGGCATGACCCCCAAGACCGGCTCCTAGCCCAGGACTCGGAGCACGACCACAATGACCGGAACTGGCAACGTAACCGGCCTTGGCCTAAGGACAGCTACTGATCACCACCTGCCCTACCCTGGCAGGCACAGGCACAGCGGCTGGGGTGCCCACCTCAGGCAGGTTGGAGTTAGACTGGCATTAGGCTGCCACTAGGTTCAGCTCCCACAACCCCCTGCCCAGCCCCTGGTCCAGGGCTGACTGTGGTCCCAAGGTTCTGGGAGAAGCAAGGGGCCCCCTCACCTCCTGGGCACAGTGACCCCGTAGGCTCTCATCCCAGGTACTAGCTGTGTTCTGTATCCTTGGCACCTCCCTCACCCGCACAAGCTGCCGCAGTGGGCAGTGATCTCAGGCCAGGATCACTTAGCAGGGGACACCCGACCAGAATGGATGCCCCCTAATAACGAGGGTGGGAGCGTGGGCAGTACAGCGTGAGTCCTGACAAGAGACTCAGTTGTGCTCTGGGGTCTAAGGGCCTCTACTCTCCTCACTGCCACACATCAGGAACGAAACAATCAGAGCTCAACACTGTAGCACTTCTGTACATCAGCGGGGGTGGGCGAGTACACCTAAGACAGGAGCAGTGCAGGTGAGGCTAGACAGACTCACAACGGAAGCTCTGGTAGACAAAGGCCCTCCTCTCCAAACCAGGAAGCTTAGCATCTGGCAAGCCTAGGGAACTGGAGCACAGTGAAGCCAGAAGCTTGGACTGCGGGGGAGGGAGGAACAGCTTCCGGCCCCCTTGCGTTTCTCATTCTTTTGCCCTTGCATCTGTCATTTCTGTTCTTTCCCTCCATGCCTCCTGCAAGACCAGGCTCCCTGACTCATAGCTGCCGCTTGTTAAGTTAGGGTTAGATGAGGACACTAGGACACAGTGGACAGCCCCCAGAGGCTGTCCACCTGGCTACCCTTGCCTTATGGCTCTAGTGTGTGACCTACAGAGCATGCTCCATTCAGAACCTGCTCCACCTCATTGTCATCTCCAATAAACACCATGCACAGTCCCTCAGGTGTCTCTGGTGTGTTGACTCATATGGTTCTATATTACTGTGTGGCCTAAGTCTGAAAAGTCTATCCTGGCCCCTTTCTCCCCAAGGATTCCTGAGTGGGAAGGGAAAACAGCAACTGCAAGAGGCACTGTATTTGTGGGCACAACACGCCCCAGGTCCAATGTCTGGAGGGAGATGGTTGGCAGTGCAGAAGGGACTTGCTCTGAGAAGTGAGGAAGCATCACGGACACAGCTTCCTACTGCTGTAACTTGAATTCACATGCTTGCCTACCTTCGAGGGGCTAAGGAGAGCATGTGCCTCAAGAGGAGAGGGACCTGTGGTCCTCGTCAGACCTAACTCCAGTGCTGACTCTTACCAGGAACAGGGGAAGCCAGATCAGGCACGTGGTGGCTGAAGTAGAGTCCAGCTGCTTCCTTTCTCATTCTGCGCAAAGCCCCAACTTACACAGAGAAGAAACACTGCAATCCTGCTGCCATGCTCTCCCATCTGCCCTCCAATGTCACCTACAGATAAATCTACTAGCTGAGAAACTAGGCCTTTCTTTTAGTGTGGCTGTCTCTCATTTTCTCAGCTAACCCATGTTCAGCCAATGCTGTTCTCGCTGACTTCTGTGGTTCCCAGAGAGGAAGTTTAGCCAGACCTAGAGACAACCTTAATATTCATGTATTTATTCTCAGAACATATAAACTTATCTTTTCAGAGAATAGAAAACAGAAATTTCACTCAGTGACTTAATGATGGACAAAGTCAGCTTACCCAGTCCCCATAGCTAAAAAAAGATTCCCGGGCTCAGGGGAGGGCGGAGGACGCCTAGAGTGCACAGCACCCTGTGGCATAGGGCTGTGCACAGCTCTAAAGGCTTCAACCTGTTGTCAGAGTGACAGAGTCCAAGGTCCACAATCCTCATGATGCCAGATCCCCTGGGTCAGTTAGGGCAACAACGTACCGCAGTACAGTCACACATGTGCTGAAGGAAGTCACCTCCAGGTGGCCAGGTATTTGTTCAGGCTAGGGGACTGTGCTAGGCAGCTGCCCTGTAACCAGGACAGCAACAAGGCTGCAAGGGGCAGAGCTGGACGAAACCTGACGTAATTTGCTCTTCCATCTTCCTACAACATCTTCCTGTCCCTATGGAGCCCACCTCACAGGTTCCGGACCAGGAAATCTGATTGTTTCCCAAACCCCCATACCCAAGAATGAGAGCCTGGAAAGAGGGATGTGAGGGTTAAAAGGACAGGCACCCGCTTCAGAACACGTTTATAAACCAATCAAGTGTTGTGTCAAGCAAAGATGGTCTCTTCCCTGCGCTTCTTGGTGAGGATGGTGCCTGGCTTGTGCTGGGCATCTGGGTGGTTTGCTAGCTCTGGAGGGCAGGACGACACTGGACTCTCTAGGATAGCTTGCTTCAGTTCATAGAACACAGCCGAGTCCTCTTTGGTGAGGAAGGTGATGGCTACACCACTCTTGCCTGCTCTTCCTGTGCGGCCAATTCGGTGAATGTAATCTGCGGAGCAGAAGGATGTCACTACAGACCAAGTGATGTCCTGATGGCTACTCTACCCCACCCAACCTCCATGGGCAAGCAATTCAGCTCCGGCTGTCGACACCTGGTGAACCCACAGTATTCGTCTCTCTGCCTGTCCCACTGCTGACTTGTCACGTGGCAACACGAAGGGTCAACCAGCCCCCACAAAGTGTCATCCTAGACACTGGGGCCACATCGTCCAGACTAGAACAGTTTTTCAGAGCATCCTGACTCTGACAGGGAGGGTATAAGTGGTCTCTCCTTACCCTGAACTGAAGCCACCTTCGCTGGCACTCACCTTCAATATTTTTGGCCATATCATAGTTGACAACCATAGACACATCTTGAATATCAATACCACGACCAGCCACATCTGTAGCCACCAAAATATCCTTGGCTCCAGCCTTGAGGTTGGACAATGCAAATTCTCGCTGCTCCTGGCCTTTTCCACCATGCAGTGTACAGGCATTGTACTGTTGGAAGACAGAAGGAAAAAGGGAATGAGAATGAGGACTGGGGGCAGCAGAAGGTAGGAGAGAGCACAGGAAGCAAGAAAAGGAGTTGAAGGGAAATGAGGAAAGCAGGTGAGCTAGAGCAGAAAATGAAGGAGTAAGGAGTGCTGGGGGGGGGGGGCAGAGCCAAAGACAGAGCAATCTGCTGAGGTGAGAGCCAGGCAGATGAAAGTTCTGAAGGAGAATCAGGGCACGGGAATCAGCATGGAAACAGGGAGTAGAAAAGTTAAGAATGTCAAGAGCTGAGTGGTGGACACCCTCTGCCTTATTAGCAGTTCAAGGGCTGGCCGTCAGCACCTCCTCCCGTCACTACACCATCTCAGACAGTACAGACCCCTCTCCACCAGCCCCGTACTCGGCCAGGATGTCTCTCTGGCCCCAACTCATTACATGGAGATCCATAGGGATTGGAACAGAAGGGATTCCGAGTAACTCATCAGTTACTTCCTTCTTTCCTCAAACCACATTTTTCTTTTGGCTCTGCTTTATTAGATGCTGCAGAGATTAAACAGCGAGAAGAGCTGACACTGCCCACCCTGTCCCTCGTGTCAGAGAGCAGCAGCACCAAGGTTAGTCTTTGCTCTGCCTGCCAGACATACCCCCATCTTCTCAAGAGACTTGGCCAACACATCACAACCCTTCTTCTGGTTGACAAAAATGATGATGGGTGGATCAAAACCTTGTTCCAAAATTGCCAGCAGCTTTTTCCTGGGGGAAAAAGAAAAATGAGATACACAGTACTCCCGACCTAGTGAAACACTCAACCCCAACAATGAACAAACTTCAGGGTCCTTCAACAGTGAAGCAGCCACCCACACTGAAAAGAAACTGTCAAACAAAAGCCTTCTTTCCACCCAGGCATCCCAGCTCAGCTGGCCCCATACCTCTTTTCTGATTCAGACATGAGGAAGACCTTTTGTTCCACTCGTTCATGGGGCTTGCCTGCAGAGCCAATGTACACCACAGCAGGTCTCCGAAGATAGCTCCTGGCTAGACGCTCCACCGCTGGGGGCATAGTAGCCGTGAACATGACTGTCTATAAAACAGGAGGTTCAGCCCTGAGCCCAGGCAGATGGAACTACATACCCTATTGTCACCACAAACAGTTCATCTCAGGCTAAAGACATTAAATGAGTCCTGCTATAAATCTGATACTTGTCACCCTGGGAAACAATGATCTTTACCTTTTAATCTATGGCAAGAAGGACCAGAAGCATTTGCTACAACCTGTGATCCAGATAGCATGTGATTCCTTACTTTTGTTTAGCTTTTTTGAGATAAGATCTTGATATGTAGATATGACTGATCTGGAATTTACATGTACGACAAGCTGGCCTCAACTTTGGGCAATCTTTCTGCCTCTGCCTCCTGAACGCTGAGATTTTAGGTGTGAGCCACCAGGCCTGGCACTATTTTTTTCTTTCCTACATAGCATAATTCTCTAGGAACAGTTTTCCAGGTTAACCTAAACAGTTCCACCCTTTGGACTTGTGCACTGGGCTCACAGAGGACTGTACACAGGCACCATTAGCAAGCTGGAAGCATGTGCACTGGGCCCACACTAGGCAAGGAGGGTCTGTTTTCATACCTGGCGGTATTTATGTTTTCCTGACTCGAAATTGGCCAACATCTTCTCTGGGTCCTCAGCCTCATCTGTGTCCGGTTTCTGGTTGCTGACAGGCATGTGTTCCAGGATCTTTTGCACATCTGGCTCAAAGCCCATGTCAATCATCCTGTCTGCCTCATCCAGAACCACATAGGTACAGCGGCTCAGCACCAGGTAGCGGTTCTCCAGCACATCAATGAGACGTCCTGGGGTAGCGATCACAATCTGGGAGATACAGTGTAATCAAACACGGCCTTAGCAGGCAAATTCCTTCTTTTCTTTCTACTGTGAACTATCTACCCACTTAGCAACAGATTTTCAATGCTAAGGAACTTGAACTCCAACCTCCAGTCAGATTTGGTACTTAAGGTTCCTGAGAACTGACATGAAATCATCTGCTACCTTCCATTTCCCTCAGGAATAAATGGGGTTTCTGAGTAAGGTCAGGGTTAGACAGGTGGCATAAGCAAGAGGTACTTCCTTAGATGGAGAAAAGGCTAATAACACACGGAGGGATTATACTGAGAAGTCTACACAAGAACCATTCTCTTAGCAGACTCCTTAAAGGATCTCTTCATCTATGGTTTTACAAGAGTAATAAGAACAGGCTTTAGTTATGAACAATTCCCTCTTCCATGTGGCCCACTGACAGCCATGTGTGACTGCAGACAAGTTATTAACCCCGTCTTCATCTATAAAACAGTGTATAATCTATATCACTACCCACTCTCATGTGGCTGTTGTGATGACCATTAATTATTAGCATTACTAATTAGTATATATTACTATAATTAATTGCACTAGCTTCTGTGGTGAAATGGTTAACACTGTGGACTCTGAATCCAGTGATCCGAGTTCGTATCTCAGTGGAACCTGCTCTGTGAGGAAGAGACCTGTCAGTCACCCTCATCAACTCAGACCATGAGACCCAGTATAAACGGGCTGCCCTGCATGCTTCGGCATTGCCAGGGGCATGTTTTACCTCACTGTCACTAGAATTAATTAATGCTCATCTGAAAAACAAACCTCACAACCCATGCGTAGCCTGAAGCCTTGGTCTTCTCTGGAGATGCCACCAATGACAGCCACCGTGCGGATACCTAGTGGCTTTCCAAATTTGATGGTTTCTTCCTCAATCTGCTGAGCCAACTCACGGGTAGGAGCCAGAATGATGGCGTAAGGGCCCTGGTCTGACTCTTCGATCCTGTGGTAAATGGAGTATCCACAGTTTCATAAGCTTTGGTCTCGTCCAACCACAAGTAGGAGCAAGACAAAGTCACTCTTCAGGGCGGCTATGGGAATGGGCAGGTTCCATTGCAAAAATCGGACTACAAGATAACCAAGTTCTCC